CCTTTACAAAGGAATCTATTTACCTTTCAAATTGAAATTTAGTTCCTGGTCCAAAACCTGATAGTATTTGCACACAAGGTCTTCGTGACAGCAATACTGCTTTCAGTGTGAAGTTTAGGGAAAGACACATGGAAAAATCAGCTGACATATTTAAATGTGGTGCATGGTTGGTTTTTTGTTGGTTTTTTTTAAATTAAATATGACCTTCTACAAAGAGTGGTGATCCTATCAACTACTACAGCTAGACCTAGAACATTTAACTGAAACTCAACACCACCAGCTGTATTGTGTTACACTTCCGCCTAAAGGCTCTGATGTTCAAGCTCCTCTGGGCGAGTGTAGGGGTCCAGGATTGGGGCCTAAATCATTATGACCAAGAAAAGAAATTAGAAAAGTTGTGGCCAGTAATCCCTTGGCAATCCTACCCTCTGTCCAGCTAGGCTGCATGTCGCTAGGAGTCCACCCCTGCGCAGAGGGGTCAGGAATGCTATTAACTTTAAAACAAATGTAGTTACCTACCTTTGAAATGAAGCACGTTATCCGTAATGGTGATCTCGGGGCTCTGAGGAAAGAGAGGATGTTTTAGGCGGCAGGCGTGTACCCGTTCCAAACAAACTGTTTAACGCCAGGATGGTGGCAATTGAGGGGGATTCAGAATCTGACCCAGAAAAGCCTGGGAGCTTCAAGCAGCAAAGTACACAGGTTCCAGTTGCACCTGTGGTGCTCCAGCCTTTTTCTTGGAGCCAAATGCCTAATGCACCTGGCATGAGATGGGGGAACTGGAGTTAGGAGGGAGTCTCCCTGGGCTGTATACCCCATGCATGGGACGGGGCGGCCCTGTACAAGGAGAGGAGGGTCTCCCCGGGCTGTATGCAGTGCATGGGACAGGGGTGCTGTAGAGCGGGGTGGGGTGTCTCCCTGGGCTACATGCCCTATGCACGAGAGGGGGGGTGCTGTACAGCAGGGAGGGGGTGTCTCCCTGGGCTGTACACACCATGCCCGGGACAAGGGCATTGTACAGTAGGGAAGGAGCGTCTCCCTGGGTTGTATACCCCATGCATGGGTTGGGGGCTCTGTGCAGCGGGGTGGGTGTCTCGCTGGGCTGCATTTCCCATGCATAGGATGGGGGCTCTGTGCAGCGGGATGGGTGTCTCCCTGGGCTGTATACCCCATGCATGGGATAGGGGCTCTGTGCAGCGGGGTGGGTGTCTCCCTGGGCTGCATTTCCCATGCATGGGATGGGGGCTCTGTGCAGCGGGGGGGGGGTCTCCCTGGGCTGCATGCCCCGTGCACGGGATAGGAGCGTCTCCCTGGGCTGTACACACACAGCATGCAACAGGGGCGCTGTACAGCGGGGTGGGGGCGGCTCCCCGGGCTGCCTGCCCCGTGCACGGGACTGGGGGCCCGGCGGTACCTGCACGTCGCTCAGCTCCACCCGCAGGTAGAGCTCGCTGTGCCGCTGCGCCCAGTGCACGTGCGGGGTCAGGCTCTGGCTCTGCATGATGGCGGCGGCCGGGACAGGCCGGGCTCCGACTGCTCCGCGCGGCGCCTGGCGAGGCCGAGGTGGCTGGCTGCCCGGGCCGCGGGGCGGAGCGAGCTCCCGGGCCGGTGCGCACGCGCCCGGCCGCTGACTCTTCCTGCCCCTCTCCGGCAGTCGGGTGCCCAGTGGGGCTGGGGCTGGGCCTAGGCGAGGGCTTGGTAGGTGGTACGTCCTAGCCTGTGCATGGTGCGGCTGTAGCACCGGTGCATGGTGCGGCTGGACCCTGGGTAGCACCGGTGCA